TTGTAATGAAACAAGGTGTATGATTTGTTGAATGTAAAACTGATGATCTGCCCTGTAAACTTTCACTCAATCCACAATAAAAACCTTAAAAAAATAGTCACTGAAGAAAAACACACATTTAAGTGGATTAAAGAAGGAAACATGGAATTTCAGAACTGTATGGATTATAATGTGTATACTTAGCTATGTTGATATTTTCCTTAACTGAAAATAAATCAAAATTTTTAGTTTAAGAAACATGCAACTTCTTTTCTAGGTAATAGAACTACCTCTTACAAACCCAGAATTATTCCAACGTGTAGGAATAATACCTCCAAAAGGCTGTTTATTATATGGACCACCAGGTTAGTGTAAAATTATTTCTGCCCCACCAATAAATGAATGGATTAATTTTAAAAGTGAGGGGGAAATTGAATGTGAACATTATTAACCTCCTCTCAATTTCAAGTGGAGCTGGGATGGGAGATGTGCATCTGCTGTCCCTTCAGGCATGCTAGTCAGTCCTCTTGCCTCAGAGTATATTCAAGTGGGCTTCAGAAAGTTGCTGGGAAAATACCATTTTCTTTTAATTCCAGCTTTCCATGCATTTTATGAAGTCCAGTCATATGCATAGCTTAATGTTACGCGAACTACAATTATAATGTTGTTAGCTGCTGTTGAGTCAGTTTCAACTCATAGCAACCCTCTGTAGGGTTCCTGAGGCTATAACTCTTTGTTGTTGTTGAGTGCCGGCAAGTCGATGCTAACCCATAGCGACCCTGTTAATAGGGTTTCCAAGGAGCAGCTGGTGAGCTTGAGCCTCCAACCTTGAAGGTCAAATGGCTTTGCAGTCTGCCACATTAACCCATAGCGCCACACCAGGACTCTTTACTGGGGCAGTAAACCTCATCTTTCTCTGGTGGAGTGAATGGTGGGTTTGAACTACTGACCTTCCAGTTAGCAGTCCAGTGTTTATCCTATTTCTGCTCTACCAGCTTTCCTTATTTTCGTGATACTAAGCTGTTACTTTCATTTTCACTGTGTTAGCATCTACAAGGAACCCTGGTGACACAGTGGTTAAGTGCTTAGGTGTTAACTGTAAGGTTGGTGATTTGAACCCACCAGCTGCTCCATGGGAGAAAGTTGTGGCAGTCTGCTTCCATAAAGATTGACAGCTGTGGAAACACTATGAAGTAGTTAATTTTTGTTATAATTACAGATGGGGCTGCTCTAAAAATCACTCCTCTGCTTTGTGCAAGGAGCTGCTATGAGTTGGAATTAATTCAACAGCAGTGGGTTGGGTTGGGTTTTTGTTATATGCTCTAATGAGATTATTAAAGTCAGTGCTTCCAAATGGTACTAGTAGTCATTGTATCCTTGACTGCCACACACTTGCAGTGTAGGAGGAAATGCCAGATTCACTTTAAAATGTCCCTGGTGACGCAGCAAGATTTTATGAACTCTTGATCCTTGAATAATGTCTTATTTTCAGTTTGATAGAAATGGAAAACACACGTAAAATACTATATCTACTGCCACTGAAAAAGGAGGTGATGTAGGAAAAGTACTAGTGCAGTTACTTTATGTTGCCAGATTAATTAGCCTCTCTTTTTTTGACGATAATTTAGTTATAATTATGGATGAGACTGCTCTAAAATCTTTCTTTTCTGAGATTGAAAGACAACTAAAATACCTAATAGTTTCAACAATGTGTATTTGTAAGGACAATTTACTGACAGACTGTGACCATTTACACTTGGTTATTAGGCACATATATTTTGTGTTTTAATAAAACACGAGCTAATCTTATTGAGGAAAACAACCGACACTGTCTTTTGCCAGTGATAAAATCTGAGCTTTTAAGCAAAATTAGAAAGTTTGAAAACATATATATGTAGCATTGTGAACTTGATAACTTTCCTGATGACAGACATGGGTGTTTAAGTATTATATAATGAAATATGAGCCCTGGTGTGCTGGACCGCTAACAGCAAGATCAGCAGTTCAAACCAACTGGCCGTGAAACACTAAACATGATTACTGTGAGTTGGAACCAACTCAATGGCACACAATAGTGAGCTGTGTCAGCATTTGGAAGATTTTCATAAGTTAAATTTATGTTTGGTGTTACAAAATCATGCTTTGAAAAAAGAGTACTCACTGCAGAGTAGACCTATGGATTTTAATGTGACCATCGTTTTCATTGCGTTCCATTTTATTAGCAGCTGGTGGTAGTTGCATGCTGTCAAGTTGGTTCTGACTCTTAGCAACCCTGTTTAGGGTTTCCAAGGCTGTCAATTTTTATGGCAGCAGAAAGCCTCATCTTTCTCCCATGGAGTAACTGGTAGATTCGAACTACAGACCTTTTGATTAGGAGCCCAGCTCATAATCCACTACACTACCAGGGTTCCTTCTAGTATAAGTAAGGTTGGGTTTAATTCTAAAATTTTATATTCAGAGTGATTAAAATTATAAGGATTTTTTGGATAAAATTTAATAGAGTAAAGGTGCTTTGAAATTTCAAAATTCTCGTTGGATAGAATTTAGCATTCAAAGGATTAACAACTCCTAAAGGACTTGAAATTTTGTTTTGCTTTCCATCTAATTGGGACTTATTTCGGCATTCCTAGGTACAGGGAAGACACTCTTGGCACGAGCTGTTGCTAGCCAGCTAGACTGCAATTTCTTAAAGGTAAAGAGAAAATTGTTTTTGTATTATTGAAATTTTATTAAAGTGTCTTTTGTTTACCTTAATGTTTTTCCTTTAATTAGGTTGTGTCTAGTTCTATTGTAGACAAGTACATTGGTGAAAGTGCTCGTTTGATCAGAGAAATGTTTAATTATGCCAGGGACCATCAGCCATGCATCATTTTTATGGATGAAATAGATGCTATTGGTAAGAATAAAATCTTTTAAATTTTGTTTTTAAAACTTATCTTGGAATGATTAGTTTTTTTTAAATCTGAAGGCGCTTCTATCACTTTTGATTACAGTTTGTGTAGTGTTTATATAGCTCAATTAGATGCTACTTTTAACAGATTCTTGGAGATATTTAATCACTTTTAAATAAATAACCCCTGCCATTGACAAAATGAAAAACTTTATATCAAAATTGACTATATCTCTGTCATTATTAATTTTCATTTTAATGTTTTTAACCCCAGGGACTATCACATTCTGTATATTTTTAAGTAATGATAATAGAAGAAAAGAGCATTGCATATCAATTTCCCAAATCTGTCATTTTAGGTGGTCGTCGTTTTTCTGAAGGTACTTCAGCTGATAGAGAGATTCAGAGGACCTTAATGGAGGTAATATTTGGTAGAACGGGTTTATAAAGAAATCAATGTTTATGGGTTTATAAAGAAATCAGTGAAGAAGTGAGCATTCCATATTTGAAGGCTAAAATGTAAACGTGCTATAAGTAAAGAATGCATTTAAATGTGGTGTTTGAAAATATTGGACAGACGCATTTCTCTTCCACACACTCTAGTAAGAAAATGACTACTAGAAAATAATAGAGGTAAATTCAAAATTCTACATGATGTACATGTGTCAGTTATGTTGTTTTTTTTTAGGGGCTCTGTTATTCAAACATTTAAGTTGTAGGTTATACTGTGGATGTGCATCTTGACACTAGTTACAGTAAGAAATTAAATAAGAAACATTAAAACCATTGGCAATATTTTTGTTAAAATCATGGGTTAGCCTACTCTAAAAATCACTGTTCTATATGGCTGAGATTGAGAGGGAACTAAAATCCCTAGTAGTTTTATAACTGAAGAAGTAGGATGGTGTGGTCAGCTTCTGTCTAGTTGGCCCCTGATTCCTGGCAGTTCAGTGCCAGAAAAATGAAATGTTCCATCTTGCAACAGCTTCATTGTGCAGTATGCCATGTGATCTATAGGGTTTTCATTAGCATCTGTAGGAAGTAGATTTCCAGGTCTTTCTAGTCTGTCTTAGTCTGGAAGCTCTGCTAAAACCTGTTTATCATAACAACACACCAGCCTCCGTTAACATACACTTGGCTATCGCTGAACATGTAACTGCAGTCTTTCACATAGAAGGCAAGAATTCAGCCACTGACCACCACTACCTCACAGTGGGATGGTAGAATGTACATAAAGCCTTTATCTAGCTTTTTATTTTTGCTTAGTCTAAATTCTTTGTAAGTGATGGCAAAATCCCAAATACATCTTCCCATTTCTGCATATAAAAACTAGGAAACATTGGTAATATGATTAGTGTCTTGTCTCTTGAGCCATTTTTTTCATTTGGATTATTTGAAAAGTACGTTTCATAAATTATATTCTTATGCTTGGAAGATATATGTTGTTTTGTTGCTGTTGTTAAGTTCTGTCAAGTCAGTTCCAACCCATAGTAACCCTGTATAAGGTTTCCAAGGAGCGGCTGATGAGCTTAAAACCATGGACCCCGAGGTTTAAACCAACCTTGCAGTCTAGCGCATTAACCCGCAGCACCACACCAGGACTCCTGGAAGATATTTAGCATGTTTAAATTACTCCCAAGTCGGTTCTGACTCATAGCGACTCAGTAAAAGGTTTCCAAAAAAAATCTGGTGGGTTTAAGAGGTTTGTGATTAACATTCCAGTGCTTATCCTATAGTGCCAAACCAGGACTCCAATTGAGACTCTCAAAAACCTTAATTTGAGATATTTTAAAACAGCACCAGCTGCTAGTTGTGTTCATGTAACTGATCTGTTGTAAGTCACATATTGTTTGGCTATCTACATTTTAAGGAATTTGTTAAATGCAAATTGGGTTTTCAACATTTAAGAGAATTTTGAAAATCATAGGTAATATATTTGGTGTCAATATTTCTATATAGAATGGATTCATTTGAAAAGATGTAGTGTATTATCAAATTTGTAGAAAAATCTTTGTATCTAGTAATCCTAATGTAAGCTTTATGTCTGACATATAAAAGTACTTTATATATTAGACTTTGTTTTTTTTATTTAAAAAAGTAATTGTATGAAAAGACTTTGAACATTGGGAATCATAGCCATATAGTTACATGATAACTATAAAAAGAGGTACATAGCTGTATAATCTATCTTCAGACTTTTAGGATGAAAAGTTTATCCTTTTATATAAGAGAAAAGTCAAATGTCTGTTTTGCAGGTTATGTTTCTGTAGGCAGTGCATCTTTCATATTATTAGGTATATAAAAATTGTGCCTTGTATATTGTGTAGTGCTTGGGGTGTCTTGTAAAATTTGTTTATTATGTTATTTATAAACATATTCTTAGTTACTGAATCAAATGGATGGGTTTGATACTCTGCATAGAGTTAAAATGATCATGGCTACAAACAGACCTGATACACTGGATCCTGCTTTGCTTCGACCAGGAAGATTAGATAGAAAAATACGTAAGTTACAGTTCTTTTGCCTGCTGTCCATTTCATTTTCTAAAGTTTTCTAAAAACAAACAAACCTACCTGACTACAAATTATTTTTTATTTTCAGATATTGATTTACCAAATGAGCAAGCAAGATTAGATATATTGAAAATCCATGCAGGTCCTATTACAAAACATGGTGAAATAGGTAAGAAATACCTATTTTATATGTATTTACATTTAATGAATGAAGTAAAGTGCTATTGGATATTGCTGATGGCTTTCTAGATCTAGTTTTGGATTTAGCATTGAGCAAACAGATAAATCCTTGTCTCTAGAATTGACATACTTATAGTCCTTGGATTATGAACATCCAACATAATTGCAAATCAACTCCTATAGAGCCTATTATATTAAAATTTTGAGGAACATAAAATGGTTTATAATAGCAAACAGGCACTACTTTGCAACACACATTCCAACATTATTACTGTTTTATTGTGTTAAAGGAGTTCTGGTGTAGTTCCATAGGATAAGCAGTAGACCTCAAGGTCAGTTTGAACCACAAAGTCACCATTCAAACTCACTATCTACTCCTTGGAAACCCTATCTGTACAGGTTCACTGTGAGTCATAATCAATTCAGTGGCACTTAACAACAATAACAACATTATGTTAAAGGTGTTTTGGTGTATCTGGAAGTGCTTTTGAAATGATTTTTTATGCATAGTAAAGTATACTATATAGTATATACAAAGATAAACATTTGAACAACTTTTGCTTGACATAAACTGTATCTAACTATTCTGACTTATTTACAAATTCAACTTAAAGATAGCCATAGAATGGAGCTTGTTCCTAATTTGGGGCCTGCCTGCAGTTGACAGGAAAGACAGATCAATAAAATATATAGTTGATTAGATGGTGATGAGTGCTGTGAAGAAAAATAAAACAAGAAAAGGGATTAGGTAGCACCAGGAGTGGGCATGAGTGTGGGATGGATGGCAGGGACACAAGGAAAGGCTTATCAAGTAGGTGATGCCTGAAAAAGGTGAAGCAAGTAAACATGGATGGTGGGGGCTGAGCAAGCACCAAGCATAAAGATCCTGCGACATGCAAGGAACAACGCAGAGGCCAGGGCTTCTGTGGCAGAATAAAGAGCAGCAGTAGCAGGCGGACTTAGTGAGGTAATTGGAGACTAGATTCTGTCAGGCTTTAATAGAAGTCTAGTTTTTGGTGAATATTGTGAGAATATAACAGGATTGATGTTAAGCTGATCAAATGCAAAACAAACTCTTTGTTTTAATTTTTCCATGTGGGCAAAATCAAGAAATTTAATCTTTTCTCTAATTTCAAGTGTTCTTTCCTAAACAGATTATGAAGCAATTGTAAAGCTTTCAGATGGCTTTAATGGAGCAGACCTGAGAAATGTTTGCACTGAAGCAGGTAAGAGTTTAAAGTTCTATTGATTTTTATTTATTTGTTAAAAATGTGTTTTGGTTTGGGTTTTTCCAGAAACAAAACCTGAGTCTTACATGATTTTGTGCTCATGTTTTATTTTGTTTTTGTGATTTTTTTTCTTAAGTTTTTGTTAACAGTTAATAGTTTACATGGGAGAACATCCATTTTACAAGCATCATTTCGTTGCAATGATTACAATCTCCTCCATGCATCATCATTCAGCAGTATTTGCTTCTATTTCCCCTGCTTGTTTGTTTTTTGGGGGGGTGATATACACAAAAACCCTCAGTAATATATAATAATTTAAACAACCAGAAGACACATTCTGCGAGCCTGCCTCCTGGCCGCCAGCACCTAGCACCTTTCTTCCCATGAGTCCGGAGTCCTCAGCTGCTCCTTCTCTCCATGTCCTAATCTCTGCCTCCATCTCTAGTGTCCCTGCTCCTCTGGATAGGTCCCGCATTCTGCTTGTGCTCTTCTCCCTTGATGGTCCTAGGGTTCTCTGTTTCTGGACTGTAAGATTAATTGCTCCCCCCTTGTTGTTACAAAACTTTACCTTTATGGTTGTGATAGTCACAATTAGTCATGATAACAATTACTCACTGTTGAATCGTAAGAATCTTATCCCCTTCTCATTTTACCAGACCCGTCTAGGCAAGATGGAAACTATTCAGTGGGGACTCTACCTTCCCCTGCACACTTTTAAACTAAACTCCCCCTTGAAACCTTGTAAGCCAGTCAGTTCATACCTTTATTACCCCCTCATTTTAGGTAACCAGTGTCTAAGTTGCGCGTCCCTATCAACCCTGTATACAGAGGAGATAGGATTCATATTTGATGTGAAGACTCCTTCCCTCTCAGTTGGTATTTTGAACTACTACATCCATAAGTATAGGTCAAGTTCATCAAATTGTAGAAATTTACACTAGTTTCCTTTATCAAAAATTTTTTTTTATTTTTCTTTAGTCAAGTTCTGATTATTTTGATTTCTTAAATTTTTTTTCTGGGAAGCAGGAGGGAGGGAACAGAGAAATTAGGTGGAAAGAGGGAAAGCTAATAAAAGATGCACTGTTGAGGTGGCTGCTATAGGCAGACCTCTTGAGAAAGTCTAAGGAGACCTTTAAGAAACATGCAGGATGCCTTCTAGAATTATCCACCTGAAAGATGGGAGACTGGAACATTTATTTACCAGCTTTTATTCCCCATTGGTTGAGATATCTCTGTGGGGACATTAACTCTTTTGCAACTTAAGATGCCTTTGGACAGAATGTGGAAAGATTGTATATGTTAGGATACTGGCCCTCTGAGGTAAATCAGATTGTACAGAACTGTTTAGCCTACCTGTGGCTTAGATTAGAAAGGGCTAGTACCCACCGTGACTACTGAAAAGGGGATAACGTACTTTCTGATATTGGTCTGTGAGCAGTAAACTTTGAAAGAATGACTTAGGGATTTTTTTGTTTATACAAGTTGTGTGAACTGTAGTAATGTTAGAATATGCTGTGTTCTGTGGATTGTGTGGTCCTATTTTTATTTGTGGTACCAAGTTGTTTTAAAACCTTACACAGTATTATTATTTAGTTTTGTCCTGCACACAGAATCTTGTAATAAAATTAGTTACTGATTTTCATAGGTTGAGGACGTACTAATTTCTTTAGTATTACAGTGTATGATTTCTGTTAGAGTCAAGGGACAAAAAGACAGAGAGCACGGCTCAACAGCATGGACAGGTTTAGTCAAGACAAACCTGGGAGGGGCTTGCTGACCAGGCTTGACCCATCCTCCTGCACAGGCTGAAGGTTTTTATGAGGGTCTTGGGAAGGGGGTGGAGCTTAGAATGGGCTAGCTGTGGAGGCAGTGGGCTTTTGTGAGGTCTTGCCCTGGGGCTAGAATTTAGAAGGGGCTAACTGGTGGAAACGGGAAATTGAAACTTAAGGAAAATAGACATTTAAGAGAGTTATGGCGGTTAGTCTCAAAAATAGCTGTACTAGGGTCCCACAATTTCCTTTTGTTTTCACATCACCTTTAAGTTTATTTTGATATTTCTAATAAATTCGAAAGACTGTTTAAAGAGGCTGCTGCTTCATAGATTCTTAGTGGTGGTGATGTGCCGTGGAGTCAGTTCTAACTCATAACGACCCTATGTAGGCTTTCCGAAGCTATAAATCTTTATGGGAGCAGCCTTATCTTTCTCCCAAGGAGAACCTGGTCGTTTCGAACTGGTGACCTTTTGGTTAGCAGCTCAACTCGTAATCCACTGCACTACCAGATTGCCTTAGCTGCTTCTTAGTAGTATCTTAATGAGTATGCTGTGGTTCAGTATTGAGGTCAAAGATCTGTGGTTTAGAAATACTTGTTACTACAAACAAAATAAATCATGCTCAGTGAGACTTATTAATAAGCAAAAGTATCAAAAGACAAACTGTTGATACTCTGTTTCCTTATGTTGTTGATGAGTACCATGGAGTCAGTTCCGACTCATAGTGACCCTGCATAGGGTTTCCCAGGCTGTAAATCTTTACTGGAGCAGAAAGCTTCGTCTTTGTCCCATGGAACGGGTGGTAGTTTTGAACTGCCGACCTTGACGTTAGTATCCCGATTCGTAACCACTATGCTACCAGAGCTCCTTCTGTTTTTTTGTAGTAACTGTGATATTCTCTCTCCAAAATGTACACTAGACCAAATTACTATTAAAAGATTGCTTTGTAAAATTGGAATCCAGACAGAAACAGTGCCATGATCTTAAAAAAGATCAAGTTATGGTACTTTCAACACATATACACACACAATGATTTTTCAAAATTATTTTAAGCTGTAGCTAATCTCAAGGTCAGTAGTTTAAATATACCAGTCGTTCCACGGGAGCAAGATGAGGCTTTCTGCTCTTGTAAAGGTTTACAACCTCAGACCCTATATAGGGTCACTACGAGTCGGAATCAACTCTGGTGCACAACCACTACCACCACTCTCCAATAAAGAGCTATAAACTTTTTAACTTCTTCTTGTTGTTGTTGTTAAGTGCCATCGAGTCGGGTCCGACCCATAGCGACCCTGTACAGGGTTTCCGAGGGTGTAAATCTTTACGGGAGTAGAAAGCCTCATCTTTCTCCCACGGAGCGGCTGGTAGTTTCGAACCGCTGACCTTAAGGTTCGCAGCCCGATTTGTAACCACTACGCTAACTTCTTATTGTGAATTAAGTGAAGGTTAACAGAACAGATTTTACTATCATTCTTACAGTTTTACTATCATTCTTACATTCTTGTGTCTCCCACTATCTTCAGGTTTCTTCTGCCAGCCTCCCTCTTATTGTATACTGCCTGCCCTTGTCACCCATGTTAACATGTGTCTACCCTCTAGTCTGTGAATTATATTTTCCTTTCCCTTGGTAACCATCACTGAATGTTTCTTTTATCCTGAAAACCTTTTCTTAACTTTTTACAACAGTGGTCATACAGTATTTCATTGACTAATTTCCCTCAGCAGATTGGCCTCCAAGTTTATGCATGTTATGAAGTATTTTGCAGTTTTGTTATTCTTCAGTGTTGCCTAGTATTCCATGTGTGTATGTGCCAACGTTTGTGTCCATTCTGCTACTGTGTCTTGACTGGTGTAATTGATTCAATTTTAGTTGTCTTTTTCCATTCAAGTCCTGACACTATCATTTTTTCAGATGAGAATGCATGTCTTTTGCAGATTCACTCAGTCATTAAAAAATTATTTGGATCATTTTGCTGTTAGTTTCACTCTTAAAAAAGATGAATTGTTCTTAACATTATTTTTTGGTTGAACTTTATACTTAAGGAATTTAGAGGTGTATTTATAAATTTCTTCATTTTTTTAAAAAATATTTACTAAATAGCAATTCAGTTAGAAATTATATAGCCAAAACCTAACTTCTAACTGAAATAATTGTAATAAAAATTTTCAGATAACTTACAGTTTCTTAAAAATTGCCTGTGATGTTTATTGATTGAATAATTGACTTAACCATCAATCAGAAGATACTGTATTCATGTTCTTTCTCTGCTTATAATGAAGCTACTGTAGCTTTTTAATATAATTACTGTGGGCCTAGAGGGAAAATAGCTAACCTACTTTTAAGTGAGGTTAGATAACATTGTGAACTATCCTACTATGGATTTTCTTACTTCGTCAAATTTACATTTCTTCGCCATTGTTAGAAAGTACTGTAAGAGGACTTGTGCCATATACTTTAAATTGTATCTTCTAAAAAAATGTTTTGGCTAAAGAGCTTATTAACGTTTAATGTGATTTGGGGAAATGACTTGGCTATTTTAAGTTGTAGGGGTCCTGGTGTGGCGCTGTAGGGTAAGCACTAGACCATCAGGTCAGTTGACCCGCAAGGTCAGCAGTTCAAACTCACCAGCCACTTCTCAGAAACCATATACAGGGTTGCTATAAACCATCTTAACAGCAGTTAACAACTACAGCAACAATTTAGTTGTAGCATTCTAAACAAGCTTTAAAATTCCACTATTAAAACATTAGCAGTTTCCATTTACCTGACTTTTAAGGACAACATAGAGCAGTAACTATTTTTGGAAAGTGAAAACGCAATGCAAGTACATCCTCAATTGAAATATTGTTAAGTGCCATCTAGTCAGTTACAACCCATAGCTACCCTGTATAGGGTTTCCAGGATGTAGCGGGTGACTATGAACTGCCAACCTTGGTGTTAGTTGGCAGTTCAGCGCCACACCAGGACTCCTTACTGTTGTTGTTAAGTGCCATTGAGTTGGTTCCAACCTATAGCGTACCTGTATAGGGTTTCCGAGGAGCAGTTGATGGGTTTGAACCACCAACCTTGAGATTTAAACTGACTTTGAAGTCCAGCATATTATCCTGTAATGCAACATTAGGAATCTTTGTTATTAAGTGTTGGAGAGTTGGTTCCAACTCAAAGCGACCCTGAATAGGATTTCCTGAAGAATTTGGTGTGTTTGCAATCCAGCACCGTTCCTGGAGTGCCACACCAGGATTCCAATAGCTTACTAGATTATTAACTTGAGATGGGCGCAAAATCTGGGGTCCATATCCATGACACCACTATTTAAAAAACAAATCAAGCTTTTATTCCTTTGTCAAGTAATAATCAATTGAAGAGAGAACAAACAAGATG